AGAGGATGCAGATGCCTCGTAGGACCAGGTGACTGCAGAGCCCAAAGTGAACAGCGGCAGCGAAAGTAAGTAAAGCCAACGTGCCCTCGCAAGGACCGAATGACCACGATGGTCTCAAGTGCAAGCGAAGCCGACTGGGCCGGGCGCCGCTGCTGGAAAGAAACGCGACCGCTGACGAGCAGAAGTCCACCAGCGCCCAGCAGAAGGCTGAGAGGCAGAACCCCCGGCCGCCACCAAGGCCATCGCAGAGCCGACTGGGCGAGGGGGGCCGGCAGCTCCAGTCCGGCCAGCGACCGGCCCGCACCCTGGGGGGCAGCAGCTAGCAGTCGCGATTGCAGAAGAGTGCGCCTGAAGTGGCCCGGCGCCCAGCGGGGGGGAGCTGGCGGCAGCAGAATGAAGGGCAACGGGCCCGCCTGAGACGACCAGAGCCGGAGCGCAGCTAACAGCCGCAGAACGTTGGAGGAATGCTTCGCCTGAGACCTGCGATCCTCTGGTAGGTTGCAGCTCACAGCCGCAGGAAGGTGGGAAACTGTTTCGCCTGAGACGCGCAGCCTGGGGCGGGGGCTGGCCGCGCCTGCCAAAACGGTGGGGGCGCAGCTAACAGCCGCAGGATGCGGGGAGGTAGGTCCTTCTGAATAGATACGGGGGGGGGTACGCAGGACGCGGGTGGGGGTACTTTTTGCTCGCGACCGCAGGCGGGCAACCGAGCGGCGTCCGAAAGTCGCAAGAGGAGCGCAAGCCCTGCCGTCGCAAGCGAGTCGCGGGAAAGGGCCACAGAGGTGGCGAAAGCTACCCAAAGCAGAGACAGGGGCGGACGAAAGCGAAGAGGAGAACGAGGACGAAGAAGCGGCAGCGGCAACGAGACAGAGAGAAGAAAGAAAGACCGGAGAACAAGAGGGCGAGCCACAGCTTATGCGCAGACCAAGTAATAGACAATAGACGACCGCACCTTGCCGAACAGCCTGCACTTGTCGTAACTCTCAACATACCCGAACCAATCGGCTCGGATGCGGCGTCGCGAGAGGCGAGGAGACCACGAAGCCGACCTACGGCGGCAGGAGCGGGCGGTAGCGTAGAGAGCCCTTGTAACCATGCAATACATCAGGCAGCCCCCAGGGCCAGCGCGATCGAAGTGCAGAGGTCCTCACATTGCTCGAGCCCCAGGGGGGGGGCAGGAGGTGAGGGGGCCCGACCAAGGGAGGCAGCAGGCAATTGCCGGGAACTCGACTGACTTCGAGGGGAAGCAATCGAAGTCGAAGGTGGGTGCACACGCCAGCGCCGTCAAGGATCAGCCCGGGCCCGCCGGGCTAACAGCCTCAGGGCGATGGGGGATTGCATTGCCTGAGACCTGCAGCTCACTGGGGGGGCGCAGCTACAAGCCGCGGGAAGCGGGAAGAAGCTCCGCCTGAGACGCCCAGCAGGGGCATGAGTAGCATGGGCGGACCGGGACGCAGGGCCGAGCCTGCTAGGTCGGTCGGGGGGCGGCTAACAGCCGCAGGACCCGGAGAAGTACTTCCGAGACGGGCTGAGCCTGGGGTGCAGCCGCAGCCGCACGAACGAGGGAAAAGGGAATCGCCTAGTTCACTGGTAGGGAGCAGCGAACAGTTGCAAGAAGGTGGGGAAGGTAAACCTCACCTGAAACATGTAGGGCCGGAGATGGGCCGACGACCAGCGGGGGTGGAGCTAGCGGCCGCAGAGTGATGGGAGAAGGTCCAGCCTGGGGAAACCTGAGCTGGAGCGCAGCTGACAGAGGCAGAACGCTGGATGAGATCGTCGCCTGAGACAAAGAGATCCTCATGCTTCGCGATTGCACCACATGAGACTGCCTGGTGCTCTGGTGGGGTGCAGCTAACAGCCGCAGGAATGTGGGAAAATACGTTCTCGCCTGAGAAATCCTGGTGATCTGCCCGGGAGCGGCAAACGGGGGGGGTAGCCGAACGCCGTCCACGGCCAAGAGCGGAGCGAAGTGGCCACAGACTGTCGAATACAATGTTCCTTTTTCAAAGAAGGGACGGGAGGAATGACGGGGAGGGGAAGGGGGAGGGGAAGGGGAACGGAGAGGACGGTGAGCAGGGAGAGACAGGCAGGAGGCTGTGGTGAGGGCAGGGGAGGAGGAGAAGGAGGAGGAGGAGGAGGAGGAGAAGTAGCAGCAGCAGGAATAGGGGAACAGGAATGAGGGGAAGGGACGGCTGGGGGAAACGTCGGCCGAGGCGGGGTCCAGAGGGCACCTGCCCAGAAGGCGGGTTGAAGAGCGCCACCGGGGGGCCCGCGCGGTGGCAGCGTGCGGGGCAGCAGGGAGCTGCAGAGTGAAGGCCGCAGTGGCACTCTAGCAGTGGTAGGGGCCACGGAGGGGCCCGGCCCCTGGCCGCCTGAAGCGAGCCGGGGGGGCGGCAGTCATCCAGGGAGCCCAGACCCCCTCGAGTATTGAAAAAATCATTACGGAAGGTTTTTCCTAATTTTCGGCCTCCGGGGGCCCTCACCGGGCCTCGCGAGCGTCAAAAAACGACTCAGGATGCAAAGCCGGTCATGGGGAATGGGTCGAGACCTCGGGGGGTCGACGTCATGAAAAAATCATGACGTCGGGGGTCTGGGGGAGAGGGGCCGCAAGAGATTCCCCAGGGAGGGGGGCTAGTGCCTGGGACGGGCCATACGCCCCAGCCTGGCGCGTCCGAGGTGGCATCAGCACGCCAGAAGGACGCGCGCGGTGGCGGGCCGCCCTCCAGTCAGACGGGCGGGACCCGCCGGGCCCAGGATGCGTCGTTGCAGGAGGCCGGGCCTAGAGGAATGCCCTGGCCGGGCGAGTGCTCGGAGTGCTCTCGGGGTCCGTCGCCCTGCTACGCTTGGCGTCGCTCCCTCCGCGCAGCCCTTTGCCTTTGCCCTTGTTGGGGTTGTCCGTGAGTCTGGCCCTCGCGCGGATCGTCCACTGGTGCCAGAGGCCAGTAAAGTAGGCACCCGGCTCCCTTTGGAGTCTCTTCACGGTCTCTGCGGGGGCCTCCTCGACGGGTGGCCGGAGGGCGACTCTGTCGAGGGGGGTACTGTAGACGCACTGGTGGATCACGGGGTCGCGAAGAACACACCCATCGTCTTGGAAGTTCCTGGGATTGCGCTGATTTGGGGCGTCGTCGGACTGAGCGCTGGCATAGGAAGGCCAAGGAACGTCCTCGGTGGCGTGTGTCCGAGCGGGCCGGCTCCAGCGCTCATCGGTTTCCCAGCTAGCCCACCCTAACCATTGCGTCCAGTGGCTGCCGCAAGGGCTACTGCGGCCGGCCTCGCTGTGCCGGCGCGGGCGGCGCTCGCACCAGCCCTCATTCAAGTTGTGTCCGCCTCTCGCGCCCGCGGGCGGGCCGGCCCTGGGCATGCTGGGGGAACGCGGCGCACTCCGTCCAGGCAGGCGTGCAAGGTTCCTGTCGTCACGCCCGGCGAGTGCGGGGGAGGAACGAGGCTCGGCGGGTGAGGTGGGGGTGCACGGCCTGCCTTCGTGCTCGGGGGTGCCCGAGGAGTGGACGATCACCGCCGGCTCAGAGCTCGATGAAGGGGACGGCGCGACTGGAAGCCCTTTGCGCCCCCTGGGCGCCGCAGGCGGGCCGCTCCGAGGGGCCACCACGTCGGGGGTCTCCGGGGCAACGTCCATGCGTGCCGTGATGCCGTCGCCGCTCGAGCGGGGAGGAGAACTCCCTGGGGCAGCTGGCTGGGCGCGTGGAGCAGCCAGTCTGGGGCTGGCATCCCGCGCACGGGCGCAGTCCAGGGATTTGGTAGCCAGGCGGTGGCACGGTGGGCTGGTAAAACTGCGCGGAGAAAAGGTGGGGGAGTGCCCCACGCCTTAATTCCAGTCCGGGTCAGGAGAGCGGAAGCGGAAGCGATAAAACTCGGCAGGGGGGTCGGTTGCCTCATGGAGTTGACCACCAGAGTTGATCCGTCCCTCACCCTTGCTGTTCTTCCTGTTGGAGGAGAGGCTAATCTGCTTGCACAACTCTTGGGTGTCCCGCATGGGGATCTCCTGAGCAAGCTGCAGTAGGGACCCGGGGGTGAGCTTGTCTGAGCTGACCTGTGCCAGGAAGGCAACAAGTGTCTCCACAGTGTGCCGCAGGGGGGACGGGCCGCGCGGGGGCCACTTGCTGGAGTGATGCAGCCAGCTGTCCAGCATGTTGGGGTCCGTGGATAGCACGCAGAGCTTTGCCACCGCCCGGCCGTCGGCTAGCCGTTTACCCTGCAAGTGGGTGCTCTTGGGGAGGTAGGAGGGCGGCACCCGTTCTCCGTAGACCAACTTCAGGGAGGGCCTGAGCTGAAGTGGTTCCCAGCTCCCGGGGTCATGTAAGTCGTACAAGTCGGACATGTCCTCCTACAGGCGAAATTTGGGAGGAACCTTGAAAGAATCAAAAAACACAGATAGTCAAGAAAGCACGAAGAATCGTCCCCAGGCTACCTCTTTACCACTCTTGAAGATTCCTCCTGCAGAGGGCCGTGCCCGACTTGAAGCTAAGCTAAAAAACTCCCTTGGTGCTAGGCGTGCCCCTCCCCCTGCACGCGCCCCCTCTGCCCCTGCAGCATCCTCTGCTAGACGAGGCCCCACCCGAGCTGGGCAAGTGCGAGACGCGCACCTCCTCCCGCTCAGCACCTCCTGCCAGACCAAGAGTGAAGGGGCCCTGGGACACACAAAATAAACAGACACAAATAACAGGATTCCCCATATTTCCCCACGCTTTCTGGGTTTATATTTTCCCATATTTCCTGTGGAATCGACGATTAATTATGTCTGTGTGTTTTTTCCTCCTGAGAAAGCCCTTCCCCAAGCTGAGTTAAAAAACGTCCGTGGGGCTAGGCATGGCCTCCTCCTACACGTGCCCCCTCCATTGGACCAAGGCCCCATCCTGGGGCTGCTTTCAGAAAACTCGCCGGTGCCAGACGTGCTCGCAGCTCTGGGCTCCGAGGTGCAGCGAAAGGATGAAGATATCTCAGGCAAAACGGCCCATACCATCTCATTTCGTTGAGGGTATCTCGTCGCGCGGGGGGGTCCTCTGGGAGTGAAAGGGAGCGCGACATGTTTTTCCATGCGTTGAGCATAAGGTCGGCCCTGAACAGAAACTCTCCACGATCACCAGCCAGCAGTGAGCTCCTAAGCAAACTGGAAAACACTGCCGCATGCGTCGCCCGAAGGAGCGTACTTGTCATATCCGCCACCGTGCCTCTGGGCACGGAGTTGGCGTGTGCCTCCAAACTGCCTCCAGGAGGCCCCCGAGGGGCCCCCCACAAGACCCCATACCCACAACCCAGGCACGGTGGCGGGATGGGCCAAAGACCAGTAGACCTGGCCCGGCACAGAAACAGAAAGAGCGCTTCAGAAACAGAAGCCGAAATTACTCACACCACCGTTCGTACTGGGAGCCTTGGCGTTGAGAGCTTGTTACGTCACCCCTCGCTCTTGGGAACCTTGGGGTTCAGAGATGGTTGCGTTGCCGCCCGTTCCTGAGCCGTGACTGGGCCTTGGTGTCAGGAACTTGTTACGTCACCGCTCTCTGCTGGGAGCCTTGGTCTTATCAGCTTGTTGACGTCACCGTTCGCTCTGGGGGAGCCTTGGTGTGAAAAGCTTTTTGCGTTACCGATCCCTCTTTATTTGGCATCTCTGGGCCTTCTTGGGAGTCCCATTGGGGCCCTTTTCGAACCCTTTTTGAAGCCTCTTGGGGGCCTCTTGGGGGCCTCGTGGGGCTTCTTGGGGGGCTCTGGGGGCCTCCTGGGAGCTTCTTGGGGCGAAAGGCTAGACTTGTCGGTTCGTGGTCCCCCTCTTGGGGCCGTCGTTGGGCCCTCTTGGGCCGTTTTGGGGGCCTCTTGGGAGCCTCTTGGGCCGTCTTGGAGCGGTCTATGGGGCCTCTTGGACCGTATTCAACGCCGTCGAAGCCGAAAAGCCGTGTATACTAAAAATGCACCTTTTCCCATAGAAAATCAATGACTTGTGCCTCCTGATGGCCTCGTGGGACGCCTCTCGAGGGCCTCTTGGGGCTTCTTGGGGGGTTCTGCGGGCCTCCCGGGAGCGTCTCGGGGCGAAAGGCTAGACTTTTCGGTTCGTAGTCCCCCTCTTTGGGCCGTCTTGGAGCCCTCTTGGGCCGTCTGGGGCGCCACTTGGGCCGTCTGGGGGCCGTCTTGGCGCCCTCTTGGGCAGTCTTGGGGGCCACTTGGGAGCCTCTTGGGCCATCTTGGGGCGGTCTTGGGGGCCTCTTAGACCGTCGTCAACGCCGTGAAAGCCAAAAAGCCGTGCTTGCTAAAAATGTACGTTTTCCCATAGAGAATCGATAAGTTTGGCCTCCTGTTGGCCTCGTGGGACGCCTCTTGGGGGCCTCTTGGGGCTGCTTGGGGGGCTGTGGGGGCGCCGTCCGGGGGCACTCTTGGGCCGCCTCTTGGGGGCCTCTTGGGAACCTCTTGGGCCATCTTGGGGCGGTCTTGGGGGCCTCTTGGGCCGTCGTCGGCGCCGTGAAAACCGAAAAGCCGTACATGCTAAAAATATACGCTTTCCTCTGGAAAATCAATGATTTTGGCCTCTTGGGGCCCTCTTGGGACGCCCCTTGGGCGCCTCTTGGGGCCTCTTGGGGACCTCTTGGGCCGTCTTGGGGCTGTCTTGGGCGGTCTTGGGCGGTCTTGGGCTCTTCTGGGACGGAAAAAAGAGAAATCCGAAAGACATGCAAAAAATCCGAAGGAAAACCCCAAAACGGCCATTAGAGCCAATCCGTTCGCGCTACGCACCCCCCTGGAACCCCCCTTTAAAGGGCTTCGCCCAACACACAACATCATCACTCGTACCTCGCTCTTTCCGTTACCTGGCCCGGCACAGAAACGGAAAAAGCGCTGCAGCAACAGATACCGAAATTACGCACACCACCGTTCGTACCGGGAGCCTTGGCGTTGAGAGCTGGTCACGTCACCCCTCGCTCTTGGGAGCCTTGGGGTTCAGAGATTGTTGCGTTGCGCCGTTCCTGAGCCTTTGCTGGGCCTTGGTGTAAGGAACTTGTTACGTCACCGCTCTCTGCTGGGAGACTTGGCTTTATCAGCTTGTTTACGTCACGGTTCGCTATTGGGAGCCTCTTGGTGTGAAGAGCTTTTGCATACCGATCGCTTCTTGGCGTCTCTGGGCACTTCGTGGGAGTCCTATTTGGGCCCCCCCCCGCCCCCAATTTTCGGGCCGTTGGTGGCATCTTGGGGGCCTCTTGGGGGCCTCTTGGGTCTTCTTGGGGGCCTCCTGGAGCGTCTTGAAGCGAAAGGCTAGACTTTCGGGTTCGTGGTCCCCCTCTTGGAGCCGTCTTGGGGCCGTCTTGGGCCGTCTTGGGCGCCTCTTGGGCCGTCTTGGCGCCCTCTTGGGCCGTTCTGGGGGCCTCCTGGGAACCTCTTGTGCAGTCTTGGGGCGGTCTTGGGGGCCTCTTGGACCGTCGTCAACGCCGCGAAAGCCGAAAAGCTGTGTATGCTAAAAATGCACGTTTTCCCATAGGAAATCTATGATTTTGGCCTCCTGGTGGCCTCGTGGGACGCCTCTTGGGGGCCTCTTGGGGATGCTTGGGGTTGTGGGGGCCTCCCGGGAGCGTGTTGGGGCGAAAGGCTAGACTGTTCGGTTCGTGGTCCCCCCCTCGGGGCCGTCGTGGGGTGTGGGGGGGGGGTTACTCTTGGGCTCGTCTTGGGCGCCTTCTTGGGCCGTCTCGGCGCCCTCTTGGGCAGTTTGGGGGGCAGCCTCTTGGGCCGTCTTGGGGCGGTCTTGGGGGCCTCTTGGACAGTCGTCAACGCCGCGAAAGCCGAAAAGCCGTGTATGCTAAAAATGCACCTTTTCCCATAGGAAATCTATGAGTTTGGCCTCCTGGTGGCCTCGTGGGACGCCTCTTGGGGGCCTCTTGGGGATGCTTGGGGGGCTGTGGGGGCCTCCCAGGAGCGCCTTGGGGCGAAAGGCTAAACTGTTCGGTTCGTGGTCCCCTCGGGGCCGTCTTGGGGCCCTCTTGGGCCGTCTTGGGCGCCTCTTGGGCCGTCTTGGCGCCCTCTTGGGCCGTTTTGGGGGCCTCTTGGGAGCCTCTTGGGCCGTCTTGGGGCGGTCTTGGGCCGTCGTCAACGCCGTGAAAGGCGAAAATCCATATGTGCTAGAAAATATACGCTTTCCTCTGGCAAAACGATGATTTGGGCCTCTTGGGGCCCTCTTGGGACGCCCCTTGGGCGCCTCTTGGGGGCCTCTTGGCTTGGGCGGTCTTGCGGTCTTGGGCTCTTGGAGCGCTCGTGGGCCGTCTTGGAGGGGAACCAAATAAAACATACAAAAACCCGAGGGAAAACCCCAAAACTGCCATTAGAGCCAATCCGCTCGCGCTACGCACCCCCCTGGAACCCCCCTTAAGGGGCTTCGCCCAACACACAACGTCATCGCTCGTACCTCGCTCTTTCCGTTACCTGGCCCGGCACAGAAACCGAAAGAGCGCTGCAGCAACAGATACCGAAATTATCTCACACCAACTACGACATGAAACTACGTAAACATAACACAACGAAATATGACAACACATGTGATATTAAATACTATAACGGTATATGATTGCATACTTATGTGGCCGTAAAGATAACCGAATCCCGCCAGCCCAGTGGGCGACAGGTGGTCGGACGAGGGTCTTGTTTCTCTTCCACAATCCCTCTTCCCTGCGGGGAGGGAGACTCTCCCCCTCGCCTCCCTGAAGTTTTTTTTTGGGAACGGGTCGCGATGTGTCGGAGGTTCCTTTTTCTGCCACTGTGGCCCCCGAGGGGGGAGACGCAAATCTAGTACCCCCACTCTTTGACCCGACCGCCTCCAAGATGGCCCCAAGAGGCCCTCCAGTGCTCCCAGGAGGCCCCCAAGAGGGCCGAAAGAGCGCCCCAAGAAGCCCCAAGAGGCATCCAAAAGGCACCCCGAGAGGCCCCCAACAGGCCCCCGAGCGGCCCCCGAGGGGCCTCAAAGAGCCCAAGATGACCTTCAAGATGGCTCAAGATAGCTCAAGCTGGCTCCAGATGGCTCCCAAGACAAGATGCTCCAAGAGGCCCCAAGACCGCTCCAAGACTGCTCAAGATGGCCACGGAGCCTCCCCAGGAGGTCATCAATAAGCCAGAATCCGTCGACTATGCGTGTCTCTTCCTCTCTCCCCCCGTCGGCTTTCATGGGCATCGTTTCTGGATGGGCTGGTGGGGGTACGCGAAGCGTCAAGAATATCATCGACATCACCATCACCGTAATCACCACGACCATCACCACCGCCACCACCACCTCGGCCTCCATCATCATCATCATCATCATCATCATCATCATCATCATCATCATCATCATCATCATCATCATCATCATCATCATCGTCGTCGTCGTCGTCGTCGTCGTCGTCATCAGCAGCAGCAGCATCATCATCATCATCATCATCATCATCATCCCCTATCGTCATCATCATCATCATCATCGCCATTCTTATTACAATCGCATCACCAGCATCAACATCATAATCATCATCATCATAATCCTCCTCATCATCACCGTCATCATCAACCACATAACCCTCATGTTCCTCAACATCCTCATCATTCTCATTATTCTCATCATCTTTTGCATCCTCATCCTCATGCTCATCAACATCCGCATCATCATCGTCGTCGTCATCGTCATCGCCATCGTCATCGCCATCGTCACGGAGGTCATAATCATCGTAGGCATCCCCGTCATCATCATCAGCCCTATCGTCGAAGTCGTCGTCGTCGTCCTCGTCGTCGTCGTCGTGGCGTGGTCGTTGTCGTCGACATCATCATCAGCAACAGCAACATCACTTGGCCGTCGCGATAACCTGACTGGCGCCTCCGGGTTCGAAGCAACATACGGCCAGGCAGCATTAAAGAAGAGCGGTCCTGCGTCGATCAGACGGCTGGGCAGTTAAGCTACAAGAGAGCGCGTTAACACCCTGACAATTGGCCCATATGTCAGCCCGAAAAGCGCGAGAAACGCATTGGGGAATCCTGGGAGGTCCAGCCGATGCGGGGGCCGCGCGAAGCCAGACCGCACCCAGACAAGACCACGACATCATCATCATTACCACCACCGCCACCACCATCATCAATGTCATTATCATCATCATCATCATCATCATCATCATCATCACCATCATCATCATCATCATCTCATCATCATCATCATCATCATCATCATCACCACCACATCGTGCCAGCATCTGGGTCTCTCTAATTATTCTGTCGCAGGGATCGCGAATCGACAGCTCGAGGTGGTGTATTGATATTTGCTCTATCCCCGTATGCTCCTATGTTCTCGCCTCTCCCTCGCTCGTTCGTCGCTGAACTTCTTCGGTGCCTGTTCGATTCTGATTGTGGCCCAGTTCTTTTAGGTTGCATGTATCGGCCGCCCAGCCACGGAAAGATTGTTTGTCTCCAGGCGTTATTCACTGAGTGGGAGCTGCATTCTCCACTGTCTGTAGGCAGTTTGCTGATCGGCGATTTTAACGTGCATCAGAAGGAATGGCTTTATTGTTCGAACCGTTCCAGCCCAGAGGGGGCATCGATGCGACAAGTGTGCACGATGCGTGGTTTTTGTCGAGCAGGTCCGGAAACAAATTCGCAATAGACACCTGCTAGATTTAGTATTGACAGACGTGCATGACATTGTGAAGACCGAGGTCATACCTACTATCGCCGACCACAGTGTTGTGTTAGTGCTTGTTGTCCTCCCTGCTTTGTCTGATACTCCCTCTCGGCGGCAAGCGTGGGATTGTAAGTTTCCCCATTGGAGGGCCATAAAGCAGAGCATTCGCGCGGAATCATGGGATTGGATCCCCATGCCACTCCTAACGCGTCTGCTTTAATCTGCCACGGCAACCGTGGTCCGCCACCGCGACCCCTGGCACGTTGAGGCGCGGTAGACTGCCAAGTTCTGCCCAGCAGGGTACCAGTAGTCCGTGGTCTTCTGAGGCCCCCCCTCCCATGACATCCACTTGCCTGCATAGCCACCTCCCCCTCCCCTCCCAAGGCTCCCTGGGCCGCCCCGACGCCTCCCTGGCGATCGCCAAGACTCTCCGAGGCCTCCACGACGGCGGGGGCGAGGCCACCAAGGCCGCCAAGATGGCCCAGCATTGCCTCAAGAGGCACCCCCCAGACGCTCTCCAGGAGGCCATCGGGGGGCCAAACTCGCAACTCGGTTTCCGCGCTCGTCGGTCGGAGATCGATTCGTCTGCGGCCTTTGAAGACGCGAAGGAGCGCCCGCCGAGTGCCACCAAGAGGGCCCCAGGACAACCCAGGACGGCGAAAAGGAAGCCCCAAGCTGGCCGAAGAGGGCTTCCATAAAGCGATCAGGACGGCCCAAGGAGGGTCCCTGGAACGCCGGCGGCCCCAAGAGACACCCCGGACGGCCGCGAGGACCCCAAGACGGTCCCAAGACGGCCCACGAAGGCCCCAAGGGACCCGCGGGACTGTCCCCCGCAGGTACCCATGACAGCCCAAGAGATGACCCACACGAGCCCCTGAGGGCTGCTCGAGGAGTCGAGAGGAACAAGTGTCGCATGTAACAGCCTGCCTGGCGGTGGTCGAAGGGCCGCCACACAGAACGCTTCGTTGGCACGGCGGCATAGGTGCCGCAGGCAACTGGATGTGCATCACGCGAAATCTGCCATGGCAACCGACGACGCGGAAGGACCCATGCCGCTCACTTCTTGAAGAGCCACATGGTGGATACAACCGGCTGGAGGAACCGCTGCCTCTGCGTGGTCGTCCTCTCCCAGCAAGCCTCCGACTGCAAACCCTGCTCGCCCCAGATGCTTCACGTACACATTCAAGTAGCCGATGCCACTTTGCGTGCGTCCTTCAACGACCTTCAGCTCAACCTTCCCAAAAGCAACCCAATCTGGAGTCTCGACTGCACGTTTCGACACGACGTGACGGTACCCTCCAGCTTGCTTCGCCTCTGCCCACGACCCCGTAACATTAACATCGACGAAATAGAGGTCCGCGCAGGAGCTACCCATTCGGCGTGCATCGGCCTGCACGCAGAGTAATGCCTCGTCAGCGCCAACCCCCTTGGGGATGTTAATGAGAACGTGCTTGCCTGGCCTCATCAGATCGAACCGCTCACCGTGGACATTCTGCAGGTGGGGGTCGCCAGTAGCAGCCACACCGCCAGCTCCGCCCGCCGTGGGAGCCCCCGGAGGAAACGTCGGCTGCGGCGTCGGCCAGCCCGGAGGAAACGTCGGGCTGGGCGTCGGGCTGGCCGTCGGGAAAAGCGTCGGGAAGGCCGTCGGGAAGGCCGTCGGGAAAGGCGTCGGGAAGGGCGTCGGGAAGGGCGTCGGGAACGCCGTCGGGGAGGCCGTCGGGAAGGCCGTCGGGAAAGGCGTCGGGAAGGGAGTCGGGTAGGCCGTCGGGAACGCCGTCGGGGAGGGCGTCGGGTAGGGGGTCGGGAAGGCCGTCGGGGAGGGCGTCGGGTAGGGGGTCGGGAAGGCCGTCGGGAAGGCCGTCGGGAAGGGCGTCGGGTAGGGCGTCGGGGAGGGCGTCGGGGAGGGGGTCGGGAAGGCCGTCGGGTAGGGCGTCGGGAAGGCCGTCGGGTAGGGCGTCGGGTAGGGCGTCGGGAAGGGCGTCGGGTAGGGCGTCGGGTAGGGCGTGGGATTGGGCGTTGGGCGAGGTGTGGGGTACGATGTTGGCGAAGGGGTCGGGGCAAGAGGCAATCTGTCCGCAACCATGCCCTCTGGCACGCTGAGGCGCAGGAGAATATGCAAAGCGCTGCCTGGTGGGATTCCCGTCGTCTCCTGAAGGGACCCCCCCCCTCCAGCACCCAGTCGCGCGCACCTGCCCCCCCCCCCGCCCCCCCCCATCTCGAGTCCCCCAGGCGCCCCGACGCCTGCCCAGCGCTGGCTCTCCAAGGTGCCCACGGCGCCCAAGATGGTTTCCAAGACGTCCCAGGCATGCCACCAAGGCCGCCAAGATGGCCCAAGATGCCTCCAAGACGGCCCAAGGCGGCTCACGAGGCCCCCAAGACGGCCTGAGGAGACTCCAAGAGGACCTCCAGCAGGGCCTGAAGAGCGCAAAAACGCATCTTACTGCAAAATGCGTGAAGGTTAGCGCTCATAGCGCTTCAACACGGCCAAAAAAAGGCTCCAAGATGGCCCCGAAGCGGCCGACACGAGCGCGTCACTTGCTACTGCTCTTCCAGAGACCCAGAAGACGTGACACGTCGCACGATACGGCCTTGTGGGCGGTGCTCCACGGGCCGCTGAGGCGCAGAGCGTGCGCGCTGGCACGGTGGCGGAATGTGCCGCAGGCAGTTGGATACAACCTCCAATTGCTGTTCGCCCCTCCCGGACTGTAATTGGTACAGCATCTGCACCCCCAACTTGGATAAGTCGGGCTGAACATGAAGCCAAGACCGCATGCTGAGTCACCAGCGGTTGCGGCGTAGCACTCGTCCGCGCTGCTCTTGTAGCCGAAATATTTCGCCTGCGAAGCGCACCCATAGCTGCCCACGAGGAGGTAATCGGCTTTCTGGTACCTCTTCCAATTTGTGTTGTAGTGGTCATTGCCCGCGCCAGGAGCACAGCATCTGCACCCCCAACCCCAGGACGGGTACGTGGGCTGCATGAAATCGGAGCCGCATGAGGGGTTGTCAAATCCGCCAGCCCCCTTGGGAGCGCAAGGCTGTGGGGTTTGCGGCTGGACTGCTACCCTGTGTTCTTGCTCATGTCTAGTGACTAAGTACTGTCTCTTGTCTCTCCAATCCTGAGAACGCCTGTTCTCTACTGCACGACCCCCCAAAAAAAACCTGGGAGGTCCCTCGAATTCACGGCCGCTAGATGGTACCATCGCATTCCCACAAGAACGCCACAGAACGGCTGAGAGTGCCCAAGAAGCCTCGAAGATGACCCGGGAAGACTACGAAGATGGACTCGAGAGCGCAAGACAGCCGAAGGTGGCCCCACGACGCCTCCAAAATAGCCCAGGAGGGCCCCAAGGGGCCCCCGACGGAGCAGAATACACCGAGAAACCAAAACGGGTTCGATCTTTCTTGCCAGACCCATACCATGCTCCCAAGAGATGTCTGCGCTCCAAGACGGCACCTGGAGACCCCGAAGTTGCCAATACGACCGCAAGGAGGCCCCCAGAGGCCCCAAGATGCACCCAGGATTGCCGAGAAGGCCACAAGATGGCCCCAAGATACCCTCTAGATGGGTCCCTGGGGCCTCGAGGAAGCCCCAAGATTAGGTGCAGATGGCTCAGCCTGGGTGGTCTGACGGGAAAAGGCGCAGCCCTTCAGATATCTGAGCCTCGCAAGACTCTGCGGTGGCGTGATACCCGAAATTCATCACTGTGCCGCTACAGTACCAATTGTTCAGAAAGGTCGCACCTCCGGATTCATCGCTCATCTGCCGCTCTGGCGTGACAGGCACAACCCCTGTAGTCGTCGCTTCCTCACTGGCCAGACTGTGAGCAATCGCGAACATACCACAGCAGAGAAAGACAACGCGCGGAACGTTCACTGCCATGGGCGCTGTGGAATGCGGTGATACGGTCTCAGCAAGAGAGCGTTAATGTCCAGTTTGGTTCGATCCAAAAGCGGTTACCTCGCGGGCGCTTTGGGACGCACTTGAGCAAACGTTGCGATGGACTGAGTGAGAAGGAGCGGGAGAGGGATGGGCACGACGAGGGAAAGGACACTGCGGGCTGTCGTCTCAGAATCGCTGCCTGCTGCTCCCGGATGCTTCGAGGGCGTGCGCCAGGCCTGGCAGAAGCCAGACGGGTTTGCCCGAGCTCGGGCCTCGAGTGTGGCCCGTGTTTTTTTTCCTGGGCAGCGCCCTTGCTCAGGTTGCAAAGTGGCTTCGCAGGTCATGACCTCCCAGCGGATCCCAAGAGAGGCTCACGAGGGGACGCGCGAACGGGGAAGTCGAGACCTCTGCTCCAAGATCATCCCCGAGACCTTCAGGAGACTCCAAGGGGTCCCCGGGATGCCCCCTGGAGGCCCCCAAGAGACCCCCAGTAGGCCCCGAGGGGGCCCAAGATGCCCCCGAAATGCCGACCAAAGGCCCCTAGCTGGGCCGTGGAGGCAGGAACTTGTTACGTCACCGCTCTCTGCTGGGAGCCTTGGTCTTATCAGCTTGTTTACGTCACCGTTCGCTCTGGGGAGCCTTGGTGTGAAGAGCTTTTTGCGTTACCGAGCGCTCTTGGCGTCTCTGGGCCTTCTTGGGAGTCCTATTGCGGCCCTTGTCAGGCCCTCCTAGAGGCCTCTTGGGGGCCTCTTGGGGGCCTCTTGGGGCTTCTTGGGGGGCTCTGGGGGCCTCCTGGGCGCGTCTTGGGGCGAAAGGCTCGACTTTTTAGATTCGCGGTCCCCCTCTTGGGGCCGTCTGGGGGCCCTCTTGGGCCACCTTGGGCGCCTCTTGGGCCGTCTTGGCGCCCTCTTGGGCCGTCTTGGGGGCCTCTTGGGAACCTCTTGGGCCGTCTTGGGGCGGTCTTGGGGGCCTCTTGGACCGTCGTCCACGCCGCGGAAGCCGAAAAACCGTGTATGCTATAAATGTACGTTTCCCATAGGAAATCCATTAGTTTAGCCTCCTGTTGGCCTCGTGGGACGCCTCTTGGGGGCCTCTTGGGGCTGTAGGGGCCTCCCGGGAGCGTCTTGGGGCGATAGGCTGGACTTGTCGGGTTCGTGGTTCCCCTCTTGGGGCCGTCTTGGGGCCCTCTTGGGCCGTCTTGGGCGCCTCTTGGGCCGTCTGGGCGCCCTCTTGGGCTGTTTTGGGGGCCTCTTGGGAGCCTCTTGGGCCGTCTTGGGGCGGTCTTGGGGACCTCTTGGGCCGTCGTCAACGCCGTTGGGTTGCCCCCCCAAGAGGCCAAAGTGGGGCCCAAACCCTAGTAACACCAATGAGTTTGGCTTCCTCGCCGAGGCCGTTTTGGACGCTCCAATGGGTCGCGGCACCGCCCGTCCAGGCCCAGGGGAGGGGGTACGGGGAGGGGTCAAGTTACCCCCTCCCCGCCCGCAAGCCGTCTCGCTCACTCCTACCCGCCCTCCCAACACATACGTAGCACCCGAGTCTGGCCCGAGCCTGAGCATATTCAGCAGTCGTCTTGGGATGGACAGCTACTGGGGGCCAATCTGGCGCCGCCGCCGCCGCCGGCGCCGCCGGCGCCGCCGCCCCCCGCTGCCAAACCGCCGCCGCCGCCGCAGCCACTGCCGCCACCGCTACCGCCGCCGCCGCCGCCGCAGCCGCCGCCGCCGCCGCCCCCCCCCCCGCCCCCCTCTTCCTCCCCCCGCCCCCTGCCGCCGCCGCCGCCGCCGGCAGCCGCCGCCGCCGCCCCCCCCGTCGCCAACCCGCCCCCGCTGCCAACCGCCGCGGCCGCCGCAAGCCGCTGCCGCTGCCGCGCGCCCCGCCGCCGCCGCCGCGCCGCCGCCGCCGCCCCCGCCTCCCGCCGCGCCGCCGCAGCCGCCGCAGCCGCCGCCCCCGCCTCCGCCGCCGCCGCCAACCCGCCGCCGCCAAGTGTACTCTGTATTGTTGTTTTTTGACAGGGATGGTGGGGGGGGCCGCATCGGGTTGGCTGCGCATGTTCCGAATTTGGAGGCAGAGTGTGTTTTGTATTGTTTTTTACAAGGGATGGTGGGGAGGGGTCGGCATGGACCTTGGTTGGCCCCCAGTCGCCTGGGGGAGGGGGTGTTTATCAATAGGGAACAGTGATGAACCCCTCCCCGAAGGGTAGTTGGAAGAGGAAACTCCCCAGACCACCTACGCCCAGAGGGCTGGTGGGATTGGAGGGAGGGTGTCTTGCAACATCGTTGATGTGTCTTGGGTTTGCACGGGTCGTCGTTGTCGTCCTCCGCCTCCTCCTCCTCCTCCTCCCCTCCCTCCTCCTCCTCTCCTCCTCTCCTCCTCCCCTCATCCTCCTCCTCCTCTTCCTCCTCCTCCTCTCCTCCTCCTCCTCTCCTCCTCCTCCTCCTCCTTCCTCTCTTCCTCCTCCTCTCCTCATCCTCCTCCTGCCTCCTCCCTCCTCCTCCTCCTCCTCTTATTCCTCCTCCTATTCCTCCTCATATTCCTCCTCCTATTCCTCCTCCTCCGCCGTTTCCTCCTCCTCCTCCTCATCATCATCATCATCATCCTCCTCCTTTCCTCATCATCAGCATCATCATCATCATCATCATCATCATCATCATCATCATCACCACCACCATCATCATCATCATCATCATCATCACCACCACCATCATCATCATCATCATCGTCATCATCACCATTAACAACAACAACGACATCATCATCATCATCATCATCACCATCATCATCATCGTCATCATCATCCTCATCCTCATCCTGACCATCATCATCATCACCATCATCAGCATCACCACCACCACCACCATCATCAGCATCACCATGATCATCATCATCATCGTCATCATCATCACCACCACCACCACCACCACCACCACCACTATCATCATCATTATCATCATCATCGTCAACAT